GGGTATCTTTGGGGCATTTTGGGGAATTTTTTTTTGAATTTTAAAGGAATTTTTAGGGAGATTTTCTCGGTATTTTTGGGATTTTTTGAGGAATTTTTGGGGGATTTTTTGAATTTTTGGGTATAATATTAGGGGATTTTTGGGGGCATTTTTAGGGGATTTGGGGAGATTTTTGGGTTTTTTTGTTAATTTTTGGGGGGATTTTTGGGGTTTTTGGGGGGTTTGGGGATTTTTTGGGGGGTTATTTTGGGGTAGTTTTTGGGGAATTTTAAAGGAATTTTTGGGCGATTTTCTCGGTATTTTTGGGAATTTTTTAGGAATTTTGGGGTATTTTTAAAAATTTTTGATGGTATTTATAGGGCACTTTTAGGACATTTTTGGGGTGTTTTTGGGGTGTTTTTTGGGGTGTTTTTAGGGGATTTTGGAGGGTATTTTTAGGGCATTTTTAGGATTTTTTTGGGGTATTTTGGGGGTGTTTTGGGGGTGTTTTTTGGGGTGTTTTTTGGGGTTTTTTTTGCAGCTATTCCTGGTGCAGAACAGCAACCGCAGCAGCTCCTACTGGCTGGGGGTGACGGACGCAGAGGAGGGGAAATGGCGCTGGGCCAACGGCGAGGAGCCGCAGATTGGGTAAAAAAACCCCAATTTTGGGCAAAAAAAAATCACAATTTTGATTAAAAAAAAATCATCGTTTTAGGCCAAAAAAAAAAATCTCGTTTTTGGGGAAAAAAATTGCAATTTTAGGAAAAAAAATCAGAATTTTGGGGAAAATAATCTCATTTTTTGTAAAAAAAGTTGCAATTTTGGGGGAAAAATCCGATTTTTGGCTGGGGGTGAGGGAGGCAGAGCAGGAGGGGAAATGGCACTGGGGCAGCAGTGAGGAGCCGCAGATCGGGTAAAAAACCCCATTTTTGGGAAAAAAACCCCCAATTTTGGGCAAAAAAATCCCAATTTTGAAAAAAAAACCCCATCATTTTAGGGAAAAAAAAATCTTGTTTTTGAGGAAAAAAAATCAGAAATTTGGGGGAAAAATCAGAATTTTGGGGAAAAAAATCACATTTTTTGAATAAAAAATCCTAATTTTGGGCAAAAAAAATCGCATTTTGGGCAAAAAATTTCTTCTTTTGGGCAAAAAATTTACAAATTTGGGAAATAAAAATCAGAATTTTGTGGAAAAAATCTCATTTTTTGTAAAAAAAATTCATAATTTTGGGCAAAAAAATATCTAATTTTTGGGTTAAAAAATCGTAATTTTGGGGAATGAAATAAGAATTTAGGGGGAAAATCAGAATTCTGGGGAAAATAATCTCATTTTTTGTAAAAAAAGTAACAATTTTGGGGAAAAAGATCAGGTTTTGGGAAAAAATCAGAATTTGTTTTTAAAATTACAATTTAGAGAAAAAAAATTACATTTTTTTGTGAAAAAATCAGATTTTTTTCCGGGGGAAAAATCGGAATGTTTTTGGGGAAAAAAATCTGAATTTGGGGGGAAAAAAATCAGAATTTAGGGGGAATAATCTCATTTTTGTTAAGAAAAAATCAGAATTTTGGTGGGGAAAAAAAAAATCTCATTTATCTGTTAAAAAATCCATAATTTTGGGCAAAAAAAATTTCCCAATTTTGAAAAAATAAAAATCATTATTTTAGGCAAAAAAAATCTCGTTTTTGGGGGAAAAAAATCACTTTTTTTGTACAAAAATTCATAATTTTGGGCAGAAAAGCCACATTTTTGGGAAAAAAAATCTCATTTTTGGGTCGAAATATCACAATTTTGGGGAAAAAATTCAGAATTTTGGGGAAAATAATCTTTTTTTTTTTGTAAAAAAAATCTTATTTTGGGGGATAAAATAACAATTCAGGTTTAAAAAAATCCTGATTTTGGTAAAAAAGAAACTCCCACAATTTTGGGGGAAAAATCTTATTTTTGTAAAAAAAAAAAATCTCATTTTGGGGGGAAAAAAACTCCAAATTTTTGGGAAAAAAAATTTCCAATTTTGGGGAAAAAATCAAATTTAGTTTAAAAAAATTACAATTTTGGGGGGGTAAAAACCCACAACTTTTTGGAAAAAAAATATCAAAATGTCCAGGAAAAAAAATCCCATTTTTGGTAAAAATACCAAAATACTGGGGAATAAAAAATCAAATAATAATAAAATAAATAAAATAATGATAAAAATCATGAAAATTAATTAAAACCAACAAAAAAATCCGATTTTTTTCCTTGAAAAAATGACGGTTTTTTCCATTTTCACCCTTTCAATTGGTTTTTTCTTTTGCTGTTGCTTTAATTCCTAATTTTTATTTTTCCCTTTTTTTTCTATCTTTTTCCTGGAATAATTCGATTTTTTGGGGTTTTTTTCCCCGGAATAATTCGATTTTTTGGGGTTTTTTTCCCGGAATAATTTGATTTTTTGGGTTTTTTTCCCCCAGGTTTTTGGAATTGAATAAAAATGGGCGAAAAATCGATTTAAAAAATAAGAAAAATTGATAAAAATCCAGGAAAAAATTGATAAGAGAAAATAATTAACGGCAAACTTTAAAAAAAATTAATAAAAAGTTAATAAAACCAAGAAGACTTCATTAAATAGGAATAAAAATCAATTATCAATCAATTTAAATAATAAGTAAATTACTAAAAATTACCCAAAAATTACTAAAAATTACCAAAAAAAAGTTTAAAAACCACTAAAAATCAATTAAAATAAAATTAATCAATCAAAATAATAAAATTTAATAAAAACCAACAAAAAAAAATCCGATTTTCCCCCATTTTTCCTTGATAAATGCCATTTTTCATCCATTTTCGCCATTTAAATTGGGTTTTTTGTGTTATTTTCGTTGCTAATTTTTATTTTTACATTTTCCCGGTTTCTTTGCCCGGAATAATTGGAATTTTGGGGATTTTTTTCCAGGTTTTGGGACGTGTGGCTGCAGGAGGAGCAGCAGGATCTGAAGGATTGCGGCACCCTGGGGCCCAACGGGCGCTGGGCGAGCGCGGCCTGCGCGGAGCCGCTGCGCTGGGGCTGTGAGAGGCCCGGACACTGCTGAAAATCCCTTCTTTTCACCCAAAAATTCCCCCCAAAATAAAAAAAAAAAATCGCTAAAAAACCCCTAAAAATTCCGCAAAAAACCCGGAAAAAATCCCCACAAAAATCCCTATTTTATTAAAGAATTTGTGCCGAAAAATCTGATTTATTTTAAGGATTTGTGTCCAAAAATCCCGCAAAAAATGCCGATTTTATTCAAGGTTTTGTGCTAATAATTCCGGTTTTTAAAAGGATTTTCAGAAAAAAATCCGATTTTTTTAAAGGGTTTGGGGCCAAAAGTCCTGCAAAACATTCTGCAAAAATCCCCCCAAAACCCCCATTTTTTTAGGGATTGGTGCCAAAAATCCCACCAAAAATCCAATTTTTAAAAGGGTTTTGTGAAAAAAATTCCAATTTTGAAGGGGTGAGGGCGGCCTGCGTGAAGCCGCTGCGCTGGGGCTGCGAGAGGCCCAGACACGGCTGAAATTCCCTTTTTTCCACCCAAAAATTCCCCCCAAAATTTAAAAAAAATCCCTAAAAAACCCCCAAAAATCCCGCAAAAAACCTGTAAAAATCCCCACAAAAATCCCGACTTTATTAAAGAATTTTGTGCCAAAAAATCTGATTTTCTTTTTTTTAAGGATTTGTGTCAAAAATCCCGCAAAAAATCTGCAAAAAACCCAGAAAAAATCCTGCAAAAGAACTGGAAAAAATAAAGAAAAATCCCGATTTTATTAAAGAATTTGTACCAAAAACTCCGATTTTTGGAAGTGTTTAGTGCAAAAAAAAAAAAAAAAAAAAAAAATCTGATTTTTTAAAAAGAATTTGTGCCAAAAATTCTATTTTTTAAAGGGATTTGTGCCAAAAATTCCGAAAAAAAAATCCCCATTTTTTTAAAAGGTTGTTGAAAAAAAAAGTTACAAATTTTTAAGGAAATTTGTGCCTAAAATCCCGCAAAAAAAAACAGGCAAAAAAAAAATATCCAGATTTCATTAATAGATTTGGGCAAAAAAACCCGAATTTTGAAGGGGTTTTGTGCAAAAAAATCCGATTTTTAAAAAGGGATTTGTGCCAAAAATCCCACAAATAATCCACAAAAAAATCCCCCCCAAAATTCCGATTTTTTAAAGGGATTGGTGCCAAAAATCCCACCAAAAAATCCCGAAAAGAATCCCCAAAAGTCCCAACAAAAATCGCGATTTTTACAAGGGATTGGTGTCCGAAATTCCGATTTTTTAAAGGGTTCCATTTTTTTAACCCAAAAATTCCCCCCAAAATTAAAAAAAAATTCCCTAAAAATTCCACCAAAAATTCCGAAAAAAACCCGGCAAAAATCCCCCCCAAATTCCTGATTTTATTAAAGAATTTCTGAAAAAAAAATTCCGATTTTTAAAGGGTTTTATGCAAAAAAATCGGATTTTTTTTAAAGAATTTGTGCCGAAAATCCGGCAAAAAAATCCAATTTTAAAAGGGATTTATGCCAAAAAATCCGTATAAAATTCAGATTTTTAAAGGATATTTCTGCCAAAAATTCTGCAAAAAATCCCGATTTTTTTAAGGGATCTGTGCCAAAAATTCCGATTTCTTCAAGTGTTTTGAGCAAAAAATTCTGGAAAAAAAAAATCCCCATTTTTTTAAAGGATTGTTGAAAAAAAAAAACCCCGAATTTTTAAAAGAATTTGTGCAGAAATCCCCGCAAAAAAAAAAAAAAAAAAAAAAAAAAAAAATCCTGACTTTTTAAGGATTTGTGCAAAAATCACAATTTTAAAAAGGGATTCATGCCAAAAATTCCGGAAAATATCCCGATTTTTTAAAGGGGTTTGTGCCAAAAATTCCGATTTTTAAAAGAGATTTCTGAAAAACAAAATCCGATTTTATTAAGAATTTGTGCCAAAAATCTCGCCAAAAATCCCCAAAATATCCCAATTTGTTAAAGGGTTTTGGGCCAAAAATTCCGATTTTTTAAAATGCAGTGTTATGAATTATGACACGGGACCAATTTGTGTCACTTTATAAAGAGAATTTTATTAATTTAGCAAGCAAGCAGTACGGGCAAATGCAGCGCTGGGCGGCCGGGGAGCCTCTGCTCCCCCCACCGGCTCGCCCCGCCCCGCACCTCCCGGTCTTTCAGTTCTCATACCCCTTCACTTCCGGACTTTGTGACAGTCTCGACGTGCTCTGCATCTGCGCGGCGTGTTGCGAGGGGTCTTTGTCTGCTGTCCGGTGGTCGTTTGAGGAAAGCTCCTCTATCTTCTTCCTCCGAGGTAGCGTTAACCCTGCAATAACTTCTTTAAATATGGTAACGCAGCCTTCAAAGATCTCTCAATTCCACTATCTACTAATAGCAGTACAACCTGCCCTCCTGCCCCACTGTTTCCTGCATCTTACACAATCCCTGGGGCTTTTCCTGATGAACAAAAACTATGCTATTGTCTTTCACACGCAGTTTTTGCCAAAAATCCTGATTTTTAAAAGGGTTTTGTGCAGAAAAAAAATCCCGATATTTTAAAAAGATTTCTGAAAAAATCCGATTTTTAATGGGATTTATGCCAAAAATCTGTATTTTTTTAAGGGATTGGTGTGGAAAAAAAAAAAACCCGATGTTTTTAGGCGATTTGTGCCAAAAAATCTGATTTTTTTATGGGTTTTCTCCAAAAACTCCTGCAAAAAATCCCAATTTTTAAAAGAGCTTTGTGAAATAACATCCCGATTTTAAAGGGTTTTGTGCCAAAAATGTCGATTTTTTAAAAAAAGAGATATCTGCAAAAAAATCCCCCAAAAAATGCCACAAAAAATCCCCCCCCCCAAAAAAACCCCAAAAAATAATCCCCCCAAAAAATCCCCAAAATCCCCCCAAAATTCCGATTTTTAAAGGGATTTTTTTCAAAAATCCCAAATAACCCCAAAACCCTCCAAAAATCCCAAATCCTCCCAAATTAACCCCAAATCCACCCAAAAAATCCAAATAGCTCCCAAAAAGCCCCAAAAGATCCCAAATCACCCCAAATCTTTCCAAAAATGACCCCAAAAAATGTCGAAAATCCCCAAATCCACCCAAAATAACCCCAAATCCCCAAATCCAGCCCAAAACCCCCCCAAATCCCCCCAAACAACCCCAAAACCACCCCAAAAAATCCAAATACCTCCAAAAAACACCACCAAGAGATCCCAAAAAACCCCAAATCCTCCCAAATTAACACCAAAAGGGGAAAAGGGCGGGAAACGTGAGGGGAAAATGGTGGGAAATGTGAGGGGGAAAGAGCAGGAAACTGAGGGGAAAAGTGCGGGGAAAGTAAGGAGGGAAAGGGCTGGCCTTGTTACCGCACTCCCTCTCATGATTGGCCAAGATGCTGCAGGTGGGCGGTCGCAGACGCGGAACTCGCGCTCTGATTGGCCGCGCCGTTTCACTGCAGTCACTCCGTGCCGGCCAGGGCGGCGGCGGGAGCTCAGAGATGGCGATGGCTGCGGGGGTTCCCGTGCGGCGGGACGGGCGCAGAGCCCCCCCGGGAGAGCGGCCGGGGCTCGCCGTGGGCTCGGAGCGCAGGTACGAGGGGCGGGGAGGGCCGTGCGGGCTCTGCCGGCGGACAATGGAGCCCTTTCTCCCTCATCGCCCCCCACCCTGAGGGACAAAATGGAGGTGCCGCCTGAGGGCTGCGGGGTTCCCGCCTTTTTCTGGGGGGGGGGGGGGCAGCTCTGAGGGGGTTTGGGGGTTCCCGCCTTTTTTTGTGAGGGGGCACAGCCCTGAGGTGGTTTGGGGATGATTTGGGGGTGATTTTAGGGGTCACCCCCAATTTTGGGGGTTTGGATTGACTCCAACTTTTAGGGGATTTGGGGTCACCCTCATTTTTAGGGGGAATTTGGGGTCACCTCAATTTTGGGGATTTGGAGTCACCCCCCCCTTTTATGGAAGGATTTGGGGTCACCCCCATTTTGGGGGTTTTGGGTCATCCCCATTTTGGGGTTTTTTTTTTAGCCTGACACCCTCTTTATGGGGGGTTTGGGGTCACCCCATTTTTGGGGGCTTGGGGTCACCCCCATTTTGGGGGGATTTGGGGGCACCTCAGTTTTGGGGATTTCGGGTCACCCCCCTTTTATGGGGTGTTTGGGGTCACCCCCAGTTTTAAGAGATTTGGAATCACCCCATTTTTGGGGGATTTTTTGGTCTGTGAGGATTTTGAGGTCACCCCCATTTTTGAGGGGAATTTGGGGTCACCTCAATTTTTGGGAGTTTGGGGTCACCCCAGATTTGGGGGATTTTGAATGATCCCCCTTTTAGGGGGGGGGTTGGGGTCACCCCAATTTTGGGGGGATTTGGATTTAGCCACCTTTTATGGGGGGGTTTGGGGTCACCCCTCTTTTGTGGGGCTTTTGGTCTGACCCCCCTTTTTGGGTTTTTTTGGGGAAAAATTCCCCCTTTCTGGGTGTTTTGGGGGGCTCAAATTCCCCCTTTTGGGCTTTTTTTGGGGTCAAACCCCCCATTTTGGGTTTTTTTGGGGTCAGACTTCCCAATTTTGTGTTTTTTGGGGGGTTTTGGGGATTTTTGTTTTTTTGGAGAGGTCAAACTCCCCCTTTTTGTTTTTTTTTTTTTTGGGGTTAAACGTCACAATTTTGGGGATTTTTTGGGGTGATCCCCCCTTTTTGGAGCTTTTTGGGTTTTTTTGTGTCAAACTCCCCATTCTTTGGGTTTTTTGGGGTGAGCTCCCCTTTTTGGGGCTGAAATGTGACATTTCAGGACCAAAATGTCAAATTTTGGGGCTGAAATTTGATTTTGATTCCGCATTGTGAGATTTTGGGATGAAATATGAAATTTTGGGACTGAAGTGTAAAATTTTGGGAATGAAATGTGGGATTTTGGGGCTAAAATGTGAAATTTTGAGGCCAAAAATTCAAATTTCCGGGCTGAAATGTGGGATTTTGGTTGAAATATGGGGATTTTGAGGCTGACATATGAAGTTTTAGGAATAAAATGTGGGATTTTGGGGTGAAATGTGAGATTTTGGGAATGAAATGTGGGAATTTGGGGTGAAATGTGAAATTTTAGGAATAAAATGTGGAAAATTTGGGGCTTAAAAGTTGAATTTTGGGATGAATTGTGAAATTTTGAGGCAAAAAATTCAAGTTTTGGGGTGAAATTTGGGGTTTGGGGGGCTGAAATTTGAAATTTTTGGAACAAAATCTGGGATTTTGGGGCCAAAATGTCAAATTTTGGGACTGAAATGTGAAATTTTAGGAATAAAATGTGGGAAATTGTGGGGCCGAAATGTGGGATTTTGGGTGAAATTTGGGGTTTTGGGCTGAAATGTGAAGTTTTAGGAATAAAATGTGGGAATTTAGGGTGAAATGTGAAATTTTGGGGCCAAAAAGTCAAATTTTGGGGGTGAAATGGGAACTTTAAAGGCTGCAATGGGAATTTTGGGGCAGATATTTGGGATTTTAAGACTGAAATGGGAATTTTTGGGCTAAAATGTGGGATTTTGGGAATTAAATGTGGGATTTTGGGTTGAAATTTGGGATTTTTGGAGCTGAAATTTGAAATTTTTGGAACAAAATCTGGGATTTTGGGGACAAAAATTCAAATTTTGGGAATAAAATGTGGGAATTTGGGGTGAAATGGGAAATTTCGGGGCCAAAAATTGAAATTTTGGGAATGAAATGTGGGAATTCGGGGTGAAATGAGAAAATTTGGGGCTTAAAAGTTGAAATTTTGGGGTGAAATTTGGGATTTTAAGGCTGAAATGTGAAATTTTTGGGCCAAAAATTCCAATTTTTGGGCTGAAATGTGAAAATTTGGAAATGAAATGTGGAATTTTGGGACTTAAAAGTTGAATTTTGGGATGAATTGTGAAATTTTGAGGCGAAAAATTCAAATTTTGGGGTGCAATTTGGGATTTTAAGGCTGAAATGTGAATTTCTGAGGCTGAAATTCGATTTTTAAGACTCCAATGTGCATTTTTGAGCTGAAATGGGAATTTTTGGGCTGAAATGTGGGATTTTGGGGCCACAATGGGAATTTCTGATGCTGAAATGTGACATTTTCATGGTGAAATGGGAATTTTTGATGCTGAAATGTGATTTTTTCAAGCTGAAAATGTGAATTTTTGGGCAGCAATGGGAATTTTTGATGCTGAAATGTGAATTTTTCATGGTAAAATGGGAATTTTTCATTCTGAAATGGGAATTTTTGGGGCTGAAATGTGACATTTTACAGCTGAACTGGGAATTTCTGATGCTGAAATGTGAAATTTTCGTGGTGAAATGAGATTTTTATGGCTGAAATGTAAATTTTGGGGCCACAATGGGAATTTCTGATGCTCCAATTGGAATTTTGGGACTATAATGGGAATTTTTTGGGCTGAAATTGGAATTTTTGGACACCAATGAGAATTTTTGGGCTGAAATGAGAATTTTTCATGGTGAAATGGGAATTTTTGGGGCTGAAATGTGGAATTTTGAGGCTGAAGAGGCTGAAATGTGACATTTTGGGGCTGAAAATTCCCATCTGCAATGGGAATTTCTCCATCTGTAATGTGATTTTTCCATCTAAAATATGAATTTTTCCCCCCAGGTGACCCGGCCATGGCCTCTCCCGGCTCCTGGAGGGGCCCTGGGGCAATGGGGATTGGGGCTGAAATGGGAAGTTTTGGGCTCCAATGTGAATTTTTCACTATAAAATGTGATTTTTTTCAATCTAAAATGTGATTTTTCCATCTAAAATGTAATTTTTTTCCCCCCAGGTGACCCGACCATGGCCTCTCCTGGCTCCTGGAGGGGCTCTGGGGCAATGAGGATTGGGGCTGAAATGGGAAGTTTTGGGCTCCAATGTGAATTTTTCACTATAAAATGTAATTTTTTTCAATCTAAAATGTAATTTTTTCAATCTAAAATGTGATTTTTCACTCTCAAATATAATTTTTTCCTCCCAGGTGACTCGGCCATGGCCTCTCCTGGCTCCTGGAGGGGCCCTGGGGCAATGGGGATTGGGGCTGAAATGGGAAGTTTTGGGCTCCAATGTGAATTTTTCACTATAAAAAGTGATTTTTTTCAATCTAAAATGTGGTTTTTCCATCTAAAATGTAATTTTTTCCCCCCAGGTGACCCGGCCATGGCCTCTCCCGGTGGTTCCCAGGTCCCAGAGTCGCTTCCGGCCCCGGCGGCCCCAGGGGAGCGGCTGAGCCCTGAGGAGCTGCAGCTGCTGGCCCGGCTGGAGGAGCAGAACCAGTCAAGAAAATGGAATATTTCATATTTTCTGTCTTTTTTGGACAAAAATTTCAGTTACAATTGATGTTGTTTGGGTTTGGGGGGAATATCTCCATTTTTTCAGTCATTTTTGGGGGAATATTTCAAATTTTTGACTCATTTTATTGGGAATATTTCCATTTTTTGAGCGATTTTAGGAAGAATATTTCCATTATTGGAGTGGTTTTAAGAGAAATATCTCCAATTTTGGGAGAATATCTCCAATTTTGGGGAAATATCTCCATTTTGGTTGGAATATCTTCATTTTAAAGTGACTATCTCCATGTTTCAGTGGAATATTTCCATTTTTGGATGAATATCTCAATTTTTAGTTGAATTATCTCCATTTTTGGGTGGAATATTTCCATTTTAGATGAATTACCGCCATTTTTAGTTGAAATATTTCCAATTTTTGGGGTAATATCTCAATTTTTGGGTCAATATCTCCATTTTTAGTTGATTTATCTCCATTTTTAGTTGAATTATCTCCATTTTTGGGTGGAATATTTCCATTTTTTGGGTTAATATCTCCATTTATGGTTGGAATATCTCAATTTTTGGGTGAATATTTCCATTTTTGGATGAATATTTCCATTTTTGGAGATATTGGAGTTGAGGCCAAGCTGGAGGAGCAGAACCGGTCAGAAAAATGGAATATTTGATATTTTCTGCACTTCTTTGGGGCAAAAATTTGATTTCCTGGAGGTTTGGAGCAAGAGATCCATTTCTGGGGAAAATATCTCAATTTTTGGGGTCATTTTTAGGGGAATATTTGAATTTTTTAAGCCATTTTATTGGGAATATTTCCATTTTTTGAGCCATTTTTGGGGCATATTTCCACATTTAGGGAAGAATATTTCCATTTTTAGGTGAATTATCTTCATTTTCGGGGTGATATCTCAATTGCTACGTGGAATATTTCCATTTTTGGGTGAATATCTCCATTCTTGGGTGTAATATTTCCATTTCTGGGGTAATATTTCCATTTTTTGGTAATATCTCCATTTTAGGTGAATACCTCAATTTTTGGCTGGAATTTCTCCACTTTTGGCTGGAATTTCTCAATTTTTGGGTGGACTATTTCCATTTTTGGGTCAATATTTCCATTTTTAGGTGGAATAGCTCCATTTTGGGCTGGAATATCTCAATTTTTGGGAGAATATCTCTATTTTTGGATGAATATTTCCATTTTTGGAGATATTGGAGTTGTGGCAAAGTTGGAGGAGCAGAACCAGTCAGAAAAATGGAATATTTGATATTTTCTGTCTTTTTTTGGGGCAAAAATTTCAGTTAAAATTGATGTTCTTTGGGTTTGGAGCAAGAGATCCATTTTTGGGGAGAATATCTCAAATTTTCGGGGAATGCCTCCATTTTTTGACCCATTTTTGGGTGAATATCTCCATTTTTGGGTGAATATCTCCATTTTTCATTGATTTATCTCCATTTTTGGGTGGAATATTTCCATTTTTGGGATAATATTTCTATTTTTAGGTGAATTTTCTCCATTTTTGGATGAATATCTCAATTTTCGGGTAAATATCTTCATTTTTGGGTGGAATATCTCCATTTATGGGTGAATATCTCCATTTTTAGGTGAATTATCTCAGTTTTTGGGTGAATATTTCCATTTTTGGGTGAATATCTCCATTTTTAGCTGGAATATTTCCATTTTTAGGTGACTTGTCTCTATTTTTGGGTGAATATTTCCATTTTTGGAGATATTGGAGTTCTGGCCAAGCTGGAGGAGCAGAACCAGTCAGCAAAAAGGGAATTTTTAATATTTTCTGCATTTTTCTGGGGCAAAAAAATTGAGTTAAAATGGATTTCCTGGGGGTTTTGGGCAAGAGATCCATTTCTGGGGAAAATATCTCAATTTTTGGGGTAATTTTCGGGGGAATATTTCCAATTTTTGACCCAGTTTTTGGGGAATATCATCATTTTTAGTTGAATTTTCTCAATTTTTAGGTGAATATCTCCAATTTTGGGGAATATTTCCATTTTAGGTGGAATATCTCTATTTATGGGTGAATATTTCCATTTTGGGGGAGAATAGCTCAATTTTTAGATGAGTATCTCCATTTTTAGTTGAATTATCTCCATTTTTGGGGAAATATCTCCATTTTAGTTGGAATATCTCCATTTTAAAGTGAATATTTCCATGTTTCAGTGGAATATCTCCATTTTGGTGTGAATATCTCCATTTTTAGTTGAAAGATTTCCAATTTTGGGTGAATATCTCAATTTTTGGCTGCAATATCTCAATTTTTAGGATAATTATCTCAATTTTTGGGAGAATATCTCAATTTTTGGATGAATACCTCCATTTTTAGGTGAATTATCTCCATTTTTAGGTGAATATCTCCATTTTTGGGTCACTCCAATCTCCTTTGGGCACATTTTGGTTCAGTTTGGGTCAGTTTTGGGTGAATTTTTGGTCAGCTTTGGGTCAGTTTCAGGTGAGTTTTAGGTCAGTTTGGCTTCAGCTTTGGGTGAATTTTGGGTCAGTTTTGTGTGAGTTTTCGTGGAATTTTGGGTGAGCATTGGGTCAGTTTTGGAGTTTCAGGTGTTTTGGAGTTTCAGGTGAATTTTGGGTGAGTTTTGGCTGAGTTTCAGGTGAATTTTGGGTCAGTTTTTGCTAAGTTTTTGGTGAATTTTGGGTGAGTTTTGGGTTAGTGTTGGGTTAATTTTGGGTCAGTTTCAGTTGAGTTTTGAATGAGTTCTGGGTCAGTTTTGGCTGAGTTTCAGGTGAATTTTGGGTCAGTTTCAATTGAATTTCAGCTGACTTTGTGCTCTGCAGGCTGCTGGAGGCCGACTCCAAGTCACTGTGCTCGGTGAATGGCGCGCGCCGTGCCAGTGCCTCCTCGCCCGGCCCCAGCTCCTTGGCCCTGTCTCAACTCGGGCCCCTGGAGGAGGAGACCTGGAGCCTCTGGGGCCGCATTGTCAGCAACTGGGATGAGTGGAGGAAGAAGAAGGAGAAGCTGCTCAAGGTGATTTTGGGGTGAATTTGTTGGGTTTTGGGGTGAATTTGTTGGGTTTTGGTATGGAATTTTTCCAGTTTGTTGGGTTTTGGGGTGGGTTTGTCCAGTTTGTTGGGTTTTGGGATGGATTTGTCCAATAAGATGAGTTTTGGGATGGATTTTTGTCCAGTTTGTTGGGTTTTGGGTTGAATTTGTTCAGTTTTGGGGTGTGTTTTTCCAGTTTGTTGGGTTTTGGGGTGAGTTTCTCCACTTTGTTGTGTATTGGGGTGGATTTGTCCAGTGCGATGAGTTTTGGGATGGAGTTTTTCCAGTTGGTTGGGTTTTGGGGTGAATTTGTGCGGTTTGTTGGGTTTTGGGTTGGATTTGTCCCATTTCTTTAGTTTAAGAGTGGCTTTGTTGAGTTTGTTGGGTTTTGGGATGGATTTGTCCCAGTTATTTAGTTTAGGAGTGGCTTTGTTTGGTTTGGGGGTAGAATTCTCAATTTTGTCATGTTTTGGGGTGGATTTGTCCAGTGGGATAAGTTTTGGGATGGATTTTTGTCCAGCTTGTTGGGTTTTCGATTAGAATCCAATTTAATGGGTTTTGGGATGGATTTGTTCAGTGGGATGAGTTTTGGGATGGATTTCTGTCCAGTTTGTTGGGTTTTGGGGTGAGTTTGTTGAGTTTGTTTGTTTTGGGGGTGGGTTTGTCCATTTTTTTGTGTTTTGGGATGAATTTTTGTCCAGTTTGTTGGATTTTTGGTGGATTTGCCCAAAAGAGTTCTGTTTTGGGGTAGAATTGTGCAATTTGTTGGGTTTTGGAGTGGGTTTGTGTCGGAACCCAAAATGTCCCTCAGACATTTTTAGAGGTTCCAGGCCTTGGTCAGAAGCATTTTAGACCCTGGCAAGCAGCTGAAAACAGCTGTGATTTTGAGTTTGAACCATGGAATGAATTACCAACTTTGAGGGTGGAACAAGCAGTCACAGAGTGTTAGATGGTATAGTAAAAGTAGTCACAAATTAGAGGGTAAAATTTTTTAGTATTATACAGGGGGGTTTTAGTACCTGTATAGGGGGGTTTTTACTTTGTACAGGGGGGTCAGGAGTTCTAAGATGGAGGAAAGTGGGCCTGATCCTATTCTTCCTCCTTCTTCTTCCTTACCTCCATGTTCTTGGTGATGTTGGCATTCACAGATTGGTTTAGAGTAGAAAAGCACATTGTAACATAGATAGTAGGTATTGGGGAAAATCTATAAACATATAACACGTAATATATCATATAAAAGATAGTAGCAGCTTTGGGCGGGGAGAGAGGCGACGGAGACACCGGACAGTGAGGGTGTCAGGAGAGTGTGTGCCTCTGCCTGGGCCGCAGACCAAAGCAGCCGCAGCGGGCGAAGACAATCTTTTAGATAACTAGCAATAAACTACCTTGAGACCGAACAACAAGAGGCTGTGGAGTTTTTCTTTGGAAGCACGGGTTGGAGGAGAGACTTTACCACCACACGAGAGCCCCGAATCAATGCCGGGGTTCTCACACCTGGCGTCCCTGGCCGGGCATCAACAAGAAGAAATATCAAAACAGCCTCCAACCTTCAGCGCCAGAAAAGGAAAAAAAAAAAAAAAAGGAAAACAGCAGAGTGCACAAACTCTCCACAAGTTCCAAGAAGAGAGGGAATGAGAAGCTCAAGATAAGAACCTGACCTTCACCAAGACAACTCGTCTCAGGGACTTTCCAGAGAGGAGACGACCCAGAAGCGCGCCTGGGATCTCTCACCTGTGACCTGCTGGACAGTGAACAGTGCCATCTCCGGACCGACCTCGGGCTGACTCAGATTTTGGTGAGAAAGGTCAAAATTAAGAACATGGGGGGGGAATTCTCCCAAGAGGAAGCTCAGACAGTATCTGTCCCACGGGAATTCTCCCGGGAGGAAATTCAAATAGTATCTGCTTTACAAGGCATCATCTCTGCCCATCCGGTAGAGATCACTCAAAAAGAATTGAAAATGTTGTTATTGTGGGTGAGGTGTAATTTCCCACCCTCGGATTTAAATTTGTTGTTTAAGCCAAATTTTTGGCAGGAAGTTAATAAGCAATTATATTATTGAACTATAAAGAAAGATAAGCTTGCTGCAGAACTACTACCTTCAGCGAGAACAGTTTTAGAGTCACTTGCACAATGCAGCAGCTCAAGTCAGGCAGCCACGGCTCCTGGGGAAAAACAGGGGTGGGGACAGTCCAGCCAGCAGCTCGGGACAGGTCCTTCCACCACAGACATAGTAGAGGATACCCCTTCGCGTCCCGTATCCCCAAGTTCCCACTGCTCCTCAGTGTCCCGAGAGTCCCCAAGCTCCTCCGACGTGGAGACTCCCCAGATGGAGGCAAGCAAGCCAAGCGCGGCCCCCGAATCCGCGGTGGGGGGGGCGCCGGCAGCAGCCTTAGTGGGTGAGAGTGCGTATGTGAGTGTCGAGCAGAGGGAGGAGGGAGAGGAAAGTGCTCTCGCATCTGCGCAGGCTGGGAGTTCAAAACAGCCCGCGCAGAAAGCGAAAGCGAGGGGACGGGCGGGGGTGGGACGGACAGGGGCGAAAGCGGGGGGTGCGAGTGCAGCGGTGGTATGCTCTGAGCGTCCGGTGATGCGTTCGATGTCGAGAATCCGTGAGGCCGCCGAAGCGGCCACCCGGATGGCGCGGGAGAGCAGCTCCCTGACCGCGGCAGCCGCATTTGCCGAGGGAGCGGCAGAGGGACAGCGGGATGCGTCCCTCGCTGCAGCTCAGGCGGCGGGCATGCACGGGAAGGTTGAGCGGAACCCGGAAGCCACAGGGGGAGGGGATTTTTCGCATCTGGAACGCGCGGCACGGGCGCGGGCGGGGCGGAGCCGGCACACGCGGGCTGTGGGTGCTGGCACAGAGCCAGGAGAGGGGCAAAGCGAGGCGGAAACATCAGGGCCAGAATGGGAACAGGAAGGTAGTTGCGTCAGTCTCGGGGAGGATGACAGTGGCTCTGAATCTGAGGCAGTGCGGGGTGGAGCTAGGCGAAAGCGCGGCCGGGGTCGGAGCAGAGGCGTCCACACCCCCGTGATGACGCAGGCAGAGTCGGGGCGTGGCCAGGATGTAAACATTCCTCAGGGCACGGTTCCGATGCAGTTCCCATGGCAACAGTCAGCCCAAGCCCACAGCCAACCCCTGTCAGCTTCAGACATGGGCAGAATAGAACAGTTGTTACAAGAGTCAGTTTCACAGAGTGCAGGGATTGCAAACGTGAATCAGTTATGGGGAGAAATGCTCAAACATTTATCAGGAATTACCACGGGGTTTGCAAATGTAAATCAGTTGTCAGAAGAGATGCTCAAATATTTATCAGAAGTGCAAATTGAAGAGCCAAGTGCAGTCCCGACCTCAGTTGGTCAGGCGGCAGCGCCATCTAGTGGCGGAACCACATCATTGCAGCAGATTTTACAGGACCCAGTCAGACAAGGCAAGGTATCACACAGTGGTGGGACTTTGACAATTCAAGACTTTTTTCCAGTTTCTTATAAGAAAAAATCTAGGATGAGAAGAGCTGCATCTGCACGACAGCAGGAATCTCCGCTGACTCCAAAGAGTGTGGGACTCAGGACACTTCTGCTGGGGGTCAACAACAGGATGACACGATTCGCATCACTGCCTCGGAGGGTGTCCCAGCTTGGACAATTCCAAAATCAAGGTCTGCCAAAATTTCGGGGCAGGGAGAATCAATTTCAGTATCAAAAAGGGTTGTTGAATTTCTTTTACGATATTTAAGCATAGCCTTGGAGTCGCAGCCAGAGCTGTTGGTTCATCTTCCAAAAATTTTCCAAATAATGCAGGGCAGTCATGTGTTCTCCTCCACAGCAGGTGCTCCACTTTTCTCCAGAGGCACCCAGCCTTCATCTTCACAGATGCCGCAGACGCCGTTGGTATCGGTGAGTGCTGCTGCATCAAAACTGCAGTCACCTCAGATGACTCCACTCTACAGGCAAGTACCCACAGAATTTCCAGCTTTGCCAGATGCGAAAGTGGACTGGCAGGACATTCGGGCAGAATTGGAGAAGGAGAAAGGTTTATTGCAGGGTTCGGGAAACATAGTGATGCCAGTGAACTATGATGCTCAGGGCCAAAACCCGAGATGGGAACGCCTGGATCGTGGAGCAATCAAAGATTTAGCTAAGGCCATTCGGGACAATGGGTTGTCATCACCATATTTCAAACAGATGTTGAAAAGCATTTTTGGCATGTATGATTTAACACCATATGATCTTAAATATCTCGCAACATCAGTTCTTACAGACACCCAAGCTCTCATTTGGCAGAAGGCGTGGCGGAGATCCCTGGAGGAGCTGAGAGCCAGATACCAAGGCAGGCCAAACGCGAACCTCACCATGGTGCAGCTTGCCGGTGATCCTCCTGAGGACGATCCAACTCAACAGGCGGTGAGACTCCCACGGCACGTGCTCAGCGACATCAAAGAGGCGGCACGGAGAGCAATTCTTCAGATTGCTCCGGCGGGGGTCCAGGACAACATCTACACCGAGATCAAGCAGGGTTCTTCAGAGCCATTTTCCTCGTTCGTGGATCGTCTTTCTCAGGCAGTGGAGCGGCAGGTGACTGAGGAGGGGGCGAAACCACATCTGACCAAAAGCCTCGCCTTCTCCAATGCCAACCCAGAGTGCAGGCGAATCATCAGCATGATGCCACACCAGGCCACCTTGGCAGACATGATCAAGGCGTGCAGCAAGGTGGGAACACCACAACATGTTGCTTCCATCATGGAGGAACACTTGGGGGATCGAATTGAAAAGCGTGTTAAGGAAGTTCTTGCAAATTATGCAAAGGGCAACACCGGTGCAGAGAGACGGTGCTTTGGGTGTGGGGCACAAGGACATATTAAAAGGAATTGGGTTAGGGTTAGGGTTAGGGTTAGGGTTAGGGTTAGGGTTAGGGTTTGCACAACTTGCAAAGCCCAACAAGCCACCAGACCTCTGTCCTCGATGCAGGAGAGGGAGACATCTCGCGAGTGAGTGCCACTCACAGACAGACGTGGATGGAAAACCTCTTCCGGTTCCGGGAAACGGGAAAAAGAGCGCGAATCGACGCCAGCGCGCACCGACACAAATTCTGGCGGTGACACAGAATCAACAGGAGCAATCCTCGGGGAACAACAAACAGAATCCTTCAGCAGAGCAATCTCCAAAATCCCCAGCGACCCAGACTTGGTACCACCCGGATTCCAACGCGTCCTGGCAACCTCCAAATTGACGTGTTTTTTGGACAATAGCCATGCAGTGATACCCACAGGTGTCACAGGGACTTCTTGGAAAAGGCAGGATTTTTTAATAATGGCCAGAGACAGAAGCAGCATTCTTGGACTTGTTGTTTACCCATCTTTGATTTCAGCAAACCGTAATGAGGAGCTGATGGTCACAGCAAAAGCCTTGCAACCACCTTTGACAATTCCACAAAATACACCAATTGCTCGAGCCATGGCTTTGCCATCTCACCCAGAAAGGCAAGTCATGCCAGTGTTCAACATACGGGACTCTTTTTCTGGTGATCAAGCAGAAGTGCATGCATCTTGGGTGAAACATGTGAGCCGAGATCGGCCTGTTGTTACTTGTCAGTTGACTTGTAACGAAAAGCCAATTACTATCACGGGAATGCTTGACACAGGAGCAGATGCTACAGTTATTTCATACATTTTTTGGCCCCGGGAATGGGACTTGGTTGCACCTTTGGGCTCTCTCTCAGGCATAGGAGGAAGTTCCCTATGCATGCAGAGTGAAAATGCAATCGTTGTCAGAGGCCCGGGAGGGAAAACAGCAGTCATCCGTCCTTTCATCGTGCAAAAGCCCATCACAGTGTGGGGAAGGGATCTTTTGGCACAATGGGGACTGAAATTAGAATTGGATTTTTGACAGGGGTCACTGTGGCACTCGCCACTCTGAAGTTGACCTGGAAAACAAATGATCCTGTTTGGGTGGATCAGTGGCCCCTTGAGTGAAAGAAATTGAGTGCCTTGAAAAAGTTGGTCCAGGAACAGCTGCAGAAGGGACACATCAAACCCACAGACAGCCCATGGAATTCTCCAGTGTTCGTCATTCACAAGAAAACTTCAGGGTCTTGGAGACTGCTTCGTGATCTCAGGAAAATCAACGAGGTCATCGAGGACATGGGACCACTTCAGCTTGGACTCCCATCTCTCTCAATGATCCCGAGAGACTGGTCACTTGTGATCATTGATCTCAAGGACTGTTTTTTCAGCATTCCACTTCATCCAGATGATGCTCCACACTTTGCATTTTCTGTCCCAAGCATCAACAGAGAAGAACCTCTGCAAAGGTACCATTGGACAGTTCTTCCGCAAGGTCTCAAAAATTCTCCAACCATTTGTCAGTGGTACGTGGCCCAAGCATTGCATCCAGCACGAGAGAAGCATCCAAAACCAAAAATTATTCATTATATGGACGATTTGCTCATTGCAGCACCGACAAAAAAGGAGGTGCAAGAGGTTCGTGACTGTGTGATTGCACAGGTGCAAAAGGCAGGACTGGAAATCAGTGCACCAAAAATACAAGAAATTGCACCTTGGAAATATCTGGGCTGGAAAATCTCGAAGCAAACAATAAGGCCACAGAAGCTGGAGATCAACACAAAGGTCACCAATCTGCAGGGTTTACAGCAGCTTTTGGGGGAGATCAACTGGATGAGACCAATCCTGGGAATCACCAATGATGACATCTCGTCACTGCTCGATCTTTTGAGAGGGGACAACAACATCAAATCTCCCAGAACTCTGACGCCTGAAGCAAGAAAAGATCTTGAGAAGATCACAGACATGATTCAACAGAGACAAGCACATCGCTTTGTGGAATCATTGCCTTTTCATTTAGCAGTGTTGGGGGAAACAGCACAGTTATATGGGTTGATTTTTCAATGGGATTTGTCTCAAATGGACCCTCTTTTGTTGATAGAGTGGGTTTTTTTAGCTTACAGGCCCTCAAAAACAATTCTTACAGATTTAGAAATGATAGCACAAATTATTATTAAAGCGAGAACCAGATTGCTGGTGATGTCAGGCAGGGATTTCTCAGTCATTCATGTACCTTTAAAGAAAGTATATTTTGAGTGGGCGATGCAGAAATCACAGGATCTTGCAATTGCTTTGTTAGGATATCCAGGGATTTGTACAGTTCATTTCCCGGCGCACAGGATGTTAAATGCAAAAGTGAGTTTCAGGGAAAAGCCAAAAATAAGCCAGGAACCAGTGGAAGGGATGACAATATTCACTGATGGTTCAGGGAAAACTCACAAATCAGTGGTCACATGGCAAAATCCAAAAACAGGGGAATGGGAATCAGATATAAAAATAATACAGGGTTCACCACAAATTGTGGAATTGGCAGCAGTGGTCAGGGTTTTTCAATTGTTTCAGGAACCTCTCAATCTGATCACAGATTCAGCATATGTTGCAAATGTGGTCAAACGATTAGAGGGATCACTTTTGAAACACACTGACAATGAAATTTTATATTCATATTTGTTATGCATGAGGACAATTCTAGAAAATAGAGAGCACAAATATTTTGGTGCACGCATCAGGGCACATTCCTCACTCCCAGGGTTCTTAGCAGAAGGGAATGCTCACGCAGATAGGCTCACAATGACCATATCACAGACATTGCCAGATATTTTTGAGCAGGCAAAATTAAGCCATGCATTTTTCCATCAAAATGCACAGGCGCTGGTGGAGTCCTTCCGCCTTTCTAAAAGTCAGGCGCGGGAGATCATCAGTGCTTGCCCAGATTGTCAGCTTGTGCAGCCTCCTGCATCCACAGGAGCTGTCAATCCAAGGGGATTGCAGAGTCTTCAGCTGTGGCAAGCTGATGTCACAAAATACCCATCTTTTGGGAAGCTCAAAAATATCCATGTTTCAGTTCACACATTTTCAGGGGCAATTTTCGCATCACTACATACAGGGGAAACTGCAGAACATGCCTGCAGACATTTTTTGCAAGCATTTGCATCACTCAGGGTGCCACAAGAAATAAAAACAGATAATGGTCCAACTTACACAGGCAAGGTGCTTGACAAATTTCTGAAAAAATGGGGAGTCAAACACATTTTTGGTATTCCTTATTCTCCCTCAGGTCAAGCAATCATTGAAAGAACACATCACACCCTGAAATCCCTCTTGGATAAACAGAAAAGAGGGGAAGCAGGCGCAACACCGCACATGCGGTTGAAATGGTCTTTCTCAGAACCCACTCCACCAATTGTTAGGCACTTCACAAACAGCACACAAGCAAAGCTAAGGGAAAATCCTTTAGTTTTGATCAGAAATCCAGAATCGGGACAAATTGAAGGTCCATTTACATTAATAACTTGGGGCAAGGGTTTCGCTTGTGTTTCCACAGAGCGAGGACCGAAGTGGGTGTCGGCGAGGCACGTGAAACCTTATCGGGTGCAGACGCAAGTGGACGTGGACCCGAGAAGCAGAGAAGCAAGCACGCAGACGAAGGCAGAAGACGACGACGCAGACGTCACATCAGACAACGACTGATCACCCAGAGACTTGGGGGGTTTTCTTTTCCTGGGAAATCAAGTGTTGTTTGGGTGTTGCTGCATTGCAGGGTCTCTCACAGAGGGTGGGGGCATGGACATGGGATTCAGGCAGATAGTGTTCATGTGCTTCATTCTCTTGCCTATTGCCTTGGGCGATTGGACAGACTTTCCCGTGAAACAACCAAGGGAAAATGTGTGGGAAACTTTGGCAAAGGCAGCGGGTCTGGACAGCATTTGTCTGACTCATTCAAAGCCAGGGAAACCATTTTCAACATGTTTAGTAGGTGTGCCAGTGAAGGAATGGCCAATTCCAAAAAGCATCCCTCCAGAGATTCTGAAAACTTTTTCAGATCCTGTGGAAGGATGGCAAGTTTGGACACAGTACCTTCCTGTGGCTCACTTGGAACCTCCAGAATTGGACATTTTTGGATCAACAAAAATGAAATGGTGCATTGAATTTAATTCATCAGGAGTGGCAAAGACAGACAATCATACAATAGATGTCACTCCCAATCAGCCTTTTTATAAAAATGCATCATCTTGGTGCGATCACACAAAAATGACAAGCAAACCATCCCTTCAACACCCAGCCACTTTACCGAAGGGAATGTTTTTCATTTGCGGGGACAGAATTTGGCCTGCTATCCCTGCAAAAATCAAGGGCGGTCCATGCAGCATCGGGGAACTCTCATTGTTAACACCTGATTTGAAAACTTTACAAAAGCAGACACACAGGGAAAAAAGATCCCTTGAACAATATAGTCCAAATTGTGATGATGATGTTTCTACCTGGAACAAGGCTCAGAGAATTGCAATAGCAATTTTCTCACCCCAAACAGCATCAGGGGTGGCCTTGACACAATTGGATCATATAGCGTGTTGGTTGAGTAAACACAGTCGTGCCATTTTGTTTGCACTGAGTGACATGTTAACAGACATCAGCGGTGCAAGGCAAGCAGTGCTTCAAAACAGGGCGGCAATTGATTATTTGCTGCTGACACATGGGCACGGATGTGAGGAATTTGAGGGGATGTGCTGCATGAACTTGTCCGATCATTCAAAATCTATTCATGAAAATATAAAAAAAATACAGAATAGATTAGCAAATTGAACAGAGTTACAGGGTCCTGGTGGGATAATTTGTTTAACTTTTTTGATATCTCACCATTGTGGAAAGAACTTTCGAAAATAGCATTTTATATTCTTATAGGGCTTGTAGTTCTTCTGCTTGTTCTACCATGCATTTTCGTGTGTATTCGAAAGACCTTGAACAGCATGGTAAAGCAGGTGTTTCTGGTTCAAACAGAGAGGGGAGATGTCGGAACCCAAAATGTCCCTCAGACATTTTTAGAGGTTCCAGGCCTTGGTCAGAAGCATTTTAGACCCTGGCAAGCAGCTGAAAACAGCTGTGATTTTGAGTTTGAACCATGGAATGAATTACCAACTTTGAGGGTGGAACAAGCAGTCACAGAGTGTTAGATAGTATAGTAAAAGTAGTCACAAATTAGAGGGTAAAATTTTTTAGTATTGTACAGGGGGGTTTTAGTACCTGTACAGGGGGGTTTTTACTTTGTACAGGGGGGTCAGGAGTTCTAAGATGGAGGAAAGTGGGCCTGATCCTATTCTTCCTCCTTCTTCTTCCTTACCTCCATGTTCTTGGTGATGTTGGCATTCACAGATTGGTTTAGAGTAGAAAAGCACATTGTAACATAGATAGTAGGTATTGGGGAAAATCTATAAACATATAACACGTAATATATCATATAAAAGATAGTAGCAGCTTTGGGCGGGGAGAGAGGCGACGGAGACACTGGACAGTGAGGGTGTCAGGAGAGTGTGTGCCTCTGCCTGGGCCGCAGACCAAAGCAGCCGCAGCGGGCGAGGACAATCTTTTAGATAGCTAGCAATAAACTACCTTGAGACCGAACAACAAGAGGCTGTGGAGTTTTTCTTTGGAAGCACGGGTTGGAGGAGAGACTTTACCACCACACGAGAGCCCCGAATCAATCCCGGGGTTCTCACAGGTTTGTCCAGTTTGTTGGGTTTTAGGGTGAGTTTCTCCCAAAGAGTTGTGTTTTGGGGTGAATTTGTCCATTTTGTTGTGTTTTAGCGTGGATTTGTTGAGTTTATTGGATTTTGGCATAGAATTGTCCAATTTGTCGTGTTTTGTGATGGAATTGTCAAATTTGTTGTGTTTTGGGGTGGGTTTGTCCAGTGGGATGAGTTTTGGGATGGATTTTTACCCAGCTTATCGTGTTTTGGCATAGATTTCTGCATTTTGTTGTGTTTTGGGGTGAATTTGTCCAATTTATTGGTTTTTGGGGTGGTTTTGTCCAATTTTTCTTGTTTTGGAGTGGATTTGTCCAGTGGGTTGAGTTTTGGGATGGGTTTTTGTCCAATTTGTCATGTTTTGGGGTGGCTTTGTCCAGTTTGTTGAGTTTTGGGGTGAATTTGTCCACTTTGTCGTGTTTTGGGGTGGCTTTGTCCAGTTTGTTGGGTTTTGGGTGGATTTCTCCATTTTGTTGTGTTTTGGAGTGGATTTGTCCAGTTTGTTGGGATTTGGGGTGGATTTTTGTCAGGTTTGTTGGGTTTTGGGGTGGAATTGTGCAGTTTGTTGAATTTTGGGATGGATTTACCCAATTTTTTGGGTTTTGGGGTGGATTTCTCCAGTGGGTCAGATTTTGGGATGGATTTATCCAATTTATTTGGTTTTTCGGTTGATTTTTTCTCCAATTTGTTGAGTTTTGGGATGGGTTTGTCCAACAGGAGGACACGGCTTGGGTCAGGATTTGACCATCCCACATTTGGGGTGACCATGACCCCACTGACCCCGACCACTGACCCCTGACCCCACTGACCCCAGCAGCTGATCCCAAAGGGGATCCTGCAGCACTTCTGGGCCACCGCGGTGCCAGGAGCAGGGACAGTGGGGTGTGGGGTCACCTTTGGGGTCTGGGGTCGTATTTGGGATTTGGGGTCATATTTGGGGTCAAGTTTGGGATTTGGGGTGACATTTAGGGTCACGTTTGGAGTCCCCAGGAGCTGATCCCAAAGGGGATCCTGCAGCACTCCTGGGCCATCGTGTGGCAGCTGCAGATCTGGGGTGACATTTGGGGTCAATGGGATGAGTTTAGGATCATGTTTGGGGTTTGGGGTGACGTTTGGGGTCACATTTAGGGTCATATTTGGGGTCTGTGTGTCCCCAGGAGCTGATCCAAAAAGGGATCCCACAGCACTTTGGGGCCACCGTGGTGCCAGGAGTAGGGACAATGAGATTTTGGGTCATGTTTGGGGTGACATTTGGGATTTGGGGTCCCATTTGGGGTGACATTTGGGGTCAGTGTGTCCCCAGGAGCTGATCCCAATTTGGATCCTGCAGCACTTCTGGGCCACCGTGGTGCCAGGAGTAGGGACAGTGGGGTGTGGGGTCGGGTTTGGGGGTCACGTTTGGGGTTTGGGGTCATGCTTGGGGTCATGTTTGGGGTTTGGGGTGACATTTGGGGTCAGGTTTGGGGTCTGTGTCCCCAGGAGCTGATCCCAGAGGGGATCCTGCCCCATTTCCAGGCCATCGTGTGGCAGCGGCTGTGCCCTGGGGCAGCAGATTTGGGGACAGCGACTTTGGGGCCATGTTTAGGATCCTGTTTTGGGTTTGGGGTGACATTTGGGTGACACTGGGGTGACACTGGTGTCCCCAGGAGCTGATCCGCAAGGGGATCCCGCAGCAGTTCCGGGCCGTGGTGTGGCAGCGGCTGTGCCCTGGGGCAGCATGGACAGTGGGGTTTGGGGTCAGGTTTGGGATTTGGGGTGACATTTGGGGTGACATTGGTGACCCTGGGGTGACACTGGGGTGACACTGGTGTCCCCGTGTCCCCAGGAGCTGATCCGCAAGGGGATCCCGCAGCAGTTCCGCGCCGCGGGGTGGCAGCGGCTCTGCGGCGTGGCCGAGCTGCCGCTCAAGGCGCGCTACCCGGAGCTGCTGTGGGTGTCGTTGCCCTGCGAGCGCCTGATCCGCCGCGACTTTGCCCGCACCTACCCTGAGCACACCCTCTTCAGCGGGCAGCGCAGCCTGGGCCAGCAGGTGCTCTTCAACGTCAGGAAGGTGACATGGGGACAGGGGGACATGGGGACACTGGGGACATCGGGGGCATTGGGGGTACTGGGGACACTGGGGGCATTGGGGACATGGGGACATGGGGACAGTGGGGACATTGGGGACATGGGGACATGGGGACATTGGGGGCATTGGGGGCACTGGGCACATTGGGGGCATTGGGGACATTGGGGACATCTGGGACACTGCCAGGTGTGGGACAGGGACAGGAGGTGCTCTTCAACATCATGAAGGTGACATGGGGACGGGGGACATGGGGACATCGGGGACATTGGGGACAGGGGGACATTGGGGACATCTCCAGGGGCCAGCCCAGCCTGGGCCAGCAGGTGCTCTTCAACATCATGAAGGTGACATGGGGACACCTGGGACACTGCCAGGGGTGGGACAGGGCCAGGGCCAGGAGATGCTCTTCAATGTCATGAAGGTGACACCATGAGGACATGGGGACACTGGGGACACTGGGGACATCTCCAGGGGTGGCCCTGGGACAAGGCCAGGAGATGCTCTTCAATGTCATGAAGGTGACACAGGGACATGGGGACATTGGAGACACTAGGGACATCTCCAGGGGTGGCACTGGGACATGGAGCTGGGGTGGGACAGGGCCAGGAGATGGTCCAGGAGATGTTCTTCAGCATCATGAAGGTGGCAGCTTGGGACATTGGGACACTGGGGACACCTGGGACACTGCCAGGGGTGGCACTGGGACAGAGGTGGGACAGGAGATGTCCCTCAGTGTCCCCAGATCCCTGAGCTGTCCCTCAGCTGTGCCTCAGTGTCCCTGGTGGCTGAGGTGGCCCTGAGGTGTTCCTCAGGGTTCCTCAGGGTCCCTCAGGGTTTCTCAGGGTCCCTCATGGTTTCTCAGGGTCCCTGAGATGACCCTCAGGCGTTTCTCGGGGTTCATGAGATGTTCCTGAGATGTTCAACAATGTTCCTAAGGGTTCCTCTGGTGTTCCCCACATGTTCCTCAGGGTTCCTCAGGGTCAGTCAGAGTTCCTAAGGTGTTCCTCAGGGTTGGTCAGGTGTTCCTCAGTGTCCCTGAGATGTTCCTCAAGGTTCCTCAGGGTTCCTCACGTGTTCCCCACATGTTCCTCAGGGTCCCGCAGGGTTCCTCAGGGTCCCTCAGGTGTTCCTCAGGGTTCCTCAGTTTCCCCCAAGGCCCCTGAGTCGTGTCTCAGTTTTCCTGAGCCGTGCCTCAGTTTCCGTGGGCCGTGCCTCAGTTTCCGTGGGCCGTGCCTCAGTTTTCCTGAGCCGTGCCTCAGTTTCCCCCGGGCCCCTGAGAAGTGCCTCAGTTTTCCTGAGCTGTGCCTCAGTTTCCACCGGGCCCCTGAGCCGTGCCTCAGTTTCCCTGGGCCGTTCGTCAGTTTTCCTGAGCCGTGCCTCAATTTCTCCCCAGGACCCTAAACTGTGCTTCAGTTTTCCTGAGCCGTGCCTCAGTTTCCCTTGGCCGTGCCTCAGTTTTCCTGAGCTGTGCCTCAGTTTCGCCCCAGGCCCCTGATCCGTGCCTCAGTTTTCCTGAGCCATGCCTCAATTTCCCTGCAGGCCCCTGAGCCGTGCCTCAGTTTTCCTGAGCCGTGGCTCTGTTTCCCAGAGCCGTGCCTCAGTTTTCCTGAGCCGTGCCTCAGTTTCCTTGAGCTGTGCCTCAGTTTTCCTCTGCCGTGCTTCAGTCTTCCTGAGCCGTGCCTAAATCTCCCCCCAGGCCCCTGAGCCGTGCCTCAGTTTCCCTGGACTGTGCTTCAGTTTTCCTGAGCCGTGCCTCAATTTCCCCCGGGCCCCTGAGCCATGCCTCAATTTTCCTGAGCCATGCCTCAGTTTCCCCCAGGCCCCTGAGCTGTGCCTCAGTTTCCCTGAGCCGTGCCTCAGTTTTCCTGAGCCGTGCCTCAGTTTCCCTGGGCCGTGCCTCAGTTTCCCCCAAGGCCCCTGAGCCGTGCCTCAGTTTTCCTGAACCGTGCCGCAGTCTCCCTGAGCTGTGCCTCAGTTTTCCTGACCCGTGCCGAAGTTTCCCTGGGCCGTGCCTCAGTTTCCCTGAGCCGTGCCTCAGTTTTCCTGACCCGTGGCTCAGTTTCCCCACAGGCCCCTGATCCGTGCCTCAGTTCTCCTGAGCCGTGCCTCAATTTCTCCCCAGGCCCCTGACCTGTGCCTCAGTTTCTCTGAGCCGAGTCTCAGTTTCCCTGAGCCGTGCCTCAGTTTCCCTGAGCCGTGCCTCAGTTTCCCTAGGCCGTGACTCAGTTTCCCTCAGCCGTGCCTCAGTTTTCCTGAGCCGTGCCTCAGTTTCCTCCAAGGCCCCTGAGCGGTGCCTCAGTATTCCTGAGCCGTGCCTCAGTTTTCCTGAGCCGTGCCTCAGTTTCCCTGAGCCGTGCCTCAGTTTCCCTAGGCCGTGACTCAGTTTCCCTCAGCCGTGCCTCAGTTTTCCTGAGCCGTGCCTCAGTTTCCTCCAAGGCCCCTGAGCGGTGCCTCAGTATTCCTGAGCCGTGCCTCAGTTTTCCTGAGCCGTGCCTCAGTTTCCCTAGGCCGTGACTCAGTTTCCCTGAGCTGTGCCTCAGTTTTCCTGAGCCGTGCCTCAGTTTCTGTGAGCCGTGCCTCAGTTTTCCTGAGCCGTGCGTAAGTTTCCTCCAAGGCCTCTGAGCCGTGCCTCAGTTTTCCTGAGCCGTGCCTCAGTTTGCCCTGGGTCCCTGACCCGTGCCTCAGTTTTCCTGAGCCGTGCCTCAGTTTCCCCCGGGCCCCTGAGCCGTGCCTCAGTTTTCCTGAGCCGTGCCTCAATTTCTCCCCAGGCCCCTGTCCTGTGCCTCAGTTTCTCTGCGCCGTGTCTCAGTTTCCCTGAGCCGTGCCTCAGTTTTCCTGAGCTGTGCCTCAGTTTCTCCCCAGGCCCCTGACCTGTGCCTCAGTTTCTCTGAGCCGTGTCTCAGTTTCCCTGAGCCGTGCCTCACTTTTCCTGAGCTGTACCTCAGTTTACCTGGGCTGTAGTTTAGTTTTCCTGAGCCGTGCCTCAGTGTTCCTGAGCCGTGCCTCAGTTTCCCCCGAGCCCCTGAGCCGTGCCTCAGTTTTCCTGAGCCGTGTCTCATTTTCCCTGAGCCGTGCCTCAGTTTTCCTGAGCCGTGTCTCATTTTCCCTGGGCCGTGCCTCAGTGTTCCTGAGCAGTGCCTCAGTTTACTCCAAGGCCCCTGAGCCGTGCCTCAGTTTTCCTTAGCCGTGCCTCAGTTTCCCCCCAGGCCCCTGAGCTGTGCCTCAATTTTGCTGAGCCGTGGCTCAGTTTACCTGAGCCGTGCCTCAGTTTTCCTGAGCTGTGCCTCAGTTTCCATGGGCTGTGCTTCAGTTTTCCTAAACCGTGCCTCAGTTTCTCTGGGCCGTGTTTCAGTTCTCCTGAGCCGTGCCTCAGTTTCCCCTGGGCCCCTGAGCCGTGCCTCAGTTTTCCTGAGCCGTGCCTCAGGTTCTCTGAGCCGTGCCTTAGTTTTCCTGAGCCGTGCCTCAGTTTCCTCCCAGGCCCCTGAGCAATGCCTCAGTTTTCCTGAGCCGTGCTTTAGTTTCCCTGAGCCGTGCCTCAGTTTTCCTGAGCCGTGCCTCAGTTTCCTCCCAAGGCCCTGAGCGGTGCCTCAGTATTCCTGAGCCGTGCCTCAGTTTTCCTGAGCCGTGCCTCAGTTTCCTCCCAGGCCCCTGAGTGGTGCCTCAGTATTCCTGAGCCGTGCCTCAGTTTTCCTGAGCCGTGCCTCAGTTTCCCTAGGCCGTGACTCAGTTTCCCTGAGCCGTGCCTCAGTTTTCCTGAGCCCTGCCTCAGTTTCCATGGGCCGTGCCTCAGTTTTCCTGAGCCGTGCGTAAGTTTCCTCCAAGGCCCCTGAGCCGTGCCTCAGTTTTCCTGAGCCATGCCTCAGTTTTCCCCATGCCTCTGAGCCGTGCCTCAGTTTTCCTGAGCCGTGCCTCAGATTCCTCCAAGGCCCCTGAGCCGTGTCTCTGTTTTCCTGAGCCGTGCCTCAGTTTGCCCTGGGTCCCTGAGCCGTGCCTCAGTTTTCCTGAGCCGTGCCTCAGTTTCCCCCGGGCCCCTGAGCCGTGCCTCAGTTTTCCTGAGCCGTGCCTCAGTTTCCTCCAAGGCCCCTGACCCGTGCCTCAGTTTTCCTTAGCCGTGCCTCAGTTTCCCCCCAGGCCCCCGAGCTGTGCCTCAGTTTTCCGGAGCCGTGCTTCAGTTTCCGCCTAGGCCCCTGACCTGTGCCTCAGTTTTCCAGAGCCGTGCCTCAGTTTCCTTGAGCTGTGCCTCAGTTTTCCTCTGCTGTGCTTCAGTTTTCCTGAGCCGTGCCTAAGTCTCCCCCCAGGCCCCTGAGCCGTGCCTCAGTTTCCCTGGACTGTGCTTCAGTTTTCCTGAGCCGAGCCTCAATTTCTCCCGGGCCCCTGAGCCGTGCCTCAATTTTCCTGAGCCATGCCTCAGTTTCCCCCAGGCCCCTGAGCCGTGCCTCAGTTTCCCGGAGCCGTGCCTCAGTTTTCCTAAACCGTGCCTCAGGTTCCCTGGGCCGTGCCTCAGTTTCCCCCAAGGCCCCTGAGCCGTGCCTCAGTTTTCTTGAGCCGTGCCTCAGTCTCCCTGAGCTGTGCCTCAGTTTTCCTGACCCGTGCCTAAGTTTCCCTGGGCCGTGCCTCAGTTTCCCCCAAGGCCCCTGAGCCGTGCCTCAGTTTTCTTGAGCCGTGCCTCAGTCTCCCTGAGCTGTGCCTCAGTTTTCCTGACCCGTGCCTAAGTTTCCCTGGGCCGTGCCTCAGTTTTCCTGAGCGTGCCTCAGTTTCCCCCAGGGGTCCCTGAGCCATGCCTCCGTTTTTCTGAGCCGTGCCTCTGTTTCCCTGAGCCGTGCCTCAGTTTTCCTGAGCCATGCCTCAGTTTCCCTGAGCCGTGCCTCTGTTTTCCTGAGCCGTGCCTCAGTTTCCTCCCAAGGCCCTGAGCGGTGCCTCAGTATTCCTGAGCCGTGCCTCAGTTTTCCTGAGCCGTGCCTCAGTTTCCGTGGGCCGTGCCTCAGCTTTCCTGAGCCGTGCGTAAGTTTCCTCCAAGGACCCTGAGCCGTGCCTCAGTTTTCCTGAGCCGTGCCTCAGTTTCCCCCGGGCCCCAGAGCCATGCCTCAGTTTTCCTGAGCCGTGCCTCAGTTTCCTCCAAGGCCCCTGAGCCGTGCCTCAGTTTTCCTGAGCCGTGCCTCAGTTTGCCCTGGGTCCCTGAGCCGTGCCTCAGTTTTCCTGAGCCGTGCCTCAGTTTCCCCCGGGCCCCTGAGCCGTGCCTCAGTTTTCCTGACCCGTGCCTCAGGTTCCTCAAAGGCCCCTGAGTCGTGCCTCTGTTTTCCTGAGCCGTGCCTCAGTTTTCCTGAGCCGTGCCACAGTTTCCTCCAAGGCCCCTGAGCGGTGCCTCAGTATTCCTGAGCCGTGCCTCAGTTTTCCTGAGCCGTGCCTCAGTTTCAGTGGGCCGTGCCTCAGTTTTCCTGAGCCGTGCGTAAGTTACCTCCAAGGCCCCTGAGCCGTGCCTCAGTTATCCTGAGCCATGCCGCAGTTTCCCCCGGGCCCCTGAGCCGTGCCTCAGTTTTCCTGAGCCGTGCCTCAGTTTCCTCCAAGGCCCCTGAGCCGTGCCTCAGTTTTCCTGAGCCGTGCCTCAGTTTGCCCTGGGTCCCTGAGCCGTGCCTCAGTTTTCCTGAGCCGTGCCTCAGTTTCCCGCGGGCCCCTGAGCCGTGCCTCAGTTTTCCTGAGCCGTGCCTCAGTTTTCCTGAGCCGTGCCTCAGTTTCCTCCAAGGCCCCTGAGCCGTGCCTCAGTTTCCCTGGGCCGTGGGTCACTTTTCCTGAGCCGTGCCTCAGTTTCCCTGAGCCGTGCCTCAGTTTTCCTGACCCGTGGCTCAGTTTCCCCACAGGCCCCTGATCCGTGCCTCAGTTTTCCTGAGCCGTGTCTCAGTTTCCCTGAGCCATGCCTCAGTTTCCCTGAGCCGTGCCTCAGTTTCCCTAGGCCGTGACACAGTTTCCCTCAGCCGTGCCTCAGTTTTCCTGAGCCGTGCCTCAGTTTCCGTGGGCCGTGCCTCAGATTTCCTGAGCCGTGCGTAAGTTTCCTCCAAGGCCCCTGAGCCATGCCTCAGTTTTCCTGAGCCGTGCCTCAGTTTCCCCCGGGCTCCTGAGAGGTGCCTCAGTTTGCCTGAGCCGTGCCTCAGTTTCCTCCAAGGCCCCTGAACCGTGCCTCAGTTTTCCTGAGCCGTGCCTCAGTTTGCCCTGGGTCCCTGAGCCGTGCCTCAGTTTTCCTGAGCCGTGCCTCAGTTTCCCCCGGGCCCCTGAGCCGTGCCTCAGTTTTCCTGAGCCGTGCCTCAGGTTCCTCCAAGGCCCCTGAGTCGTGCCTCAGTTTTCCTGACCTGTGCCTCAGTTTTCCTGAGCCGTGCCTCAGTTTCCTCCAAGGCCCCTGAGCGGTGCCTCAGTATTCCTGAGCCGTGCCTCAGTTTTCTTGAGCCGTGCCTCAGTTTCCCTAGGCCGTGACTCAGTTTCCCTGAGCCGTGCCTCAGTCTTCCTGAGCCGTGCGTAAGTTTCCTCCAAGGCCCCTGAGCCGTGCGTCAGTTTTCCTGAACCATGCCTCAGTTTCCCCCGGGCCCCTGACCCGTGCCTCAGTTTTCCTGAGCCGTGCCTCAGCTTGCCCTGGGTCCCTGACCTGTGCCTCAGTTTTCCTGAGCCGTGCCTCAGTTTCCCCCGG